AATGTAACGCAAGTACATTGGAAGTAACTGTAATTACAATACCTAAAAATGAACAGTAATTAGTTAATCTACTTTTTCAGTGGAAAAGTAATTTAACTACAGTAACACATTACTTAGTAACGCATTACACCCAACATTATTCTTGGCATTATTCTTAACTCTGAAATATTGTGAACAGCATCAGTGGAAACTAATTTAGAAAGCTTTTTATCTGTAAGCTCTTTAGCCCCCAAAATATGCTAAGAACATCCTGCATCCAAAAATGTAACATATCTGATGAGTCAAGTCTCTGTAGTAAATGAAATGGTGTATATCAGTGCCCCCTTCTTTCTAATCACTCTAATTGTCTTAATCAACATAAACACACTCTCCCCACTGTTAGGCCCAGCAACAGTAAAGCCCAGGCTTTCTAACTACCCACTCAGATCAAATGACTCCATTGCTACACTGATATGTTGATGGGAATTAGCAGATTTGTAGATTATAATCACACCACGTTTCCTCAGAGGCAGAGCCGGTTAGAGAGGAGCTTTATGGAATAATTGGATAGGCAAATGAGACTGTAGCCATGAACAAGAGGCATTAAAAAGAATTCCCTTGCTGGGAGCTCTGTGCTACCTGGATGTTGAAAGCCTTCAGAACAGGTGATTAGACAGGAGTAGGTGTCATTAAAACTCCATTAGCACAAAACCCAGCCCCCAGTGCTCACTGCAATCGCAGACACACACTGGTAATGCAGATCATAAGTGTTTGTGTGTATAAAAAGCCTGTGTGTGTCTGCTGAGTATCTAATGACTCATTTAGGACCCCTACCCCTGGGAAACGTGACAGTAAGGACCCTCTTGTGGCTGGCTCACTAAGTGCCTGCTTATTAATTAAACACAGCTGAGGCTCAGGGGGTAGCAGCAATGCTGCATCAGCTTGTCAAGTTTCATTCTACATGTGGGTAAATGAACAGTATCCTCCTGCAAGTGCTGCACAGCCTGCTGCTCTTTGGTTCCATGCATCTGAAATTATGACAAATGCTTGGATGCCCAATAACAACAGATACTGACATGTGGTAAATACAGGACGGCTTCCTTCTGATAGGTGTGTAGGTAAATGTTTGTAGTAAGTTTTGAGTGCAGGAAATCAATAGAGGTGCAGGCCTGGAATACAGATTTCACTCACATCTTGAGAATGAGAGAACTGAAAAGCAAAGTGGCGCTGTGAATGCCAATTATCATTCTACCATTAAAAAAACTGTTTCCCAGCCTGGTAATTTCCTCCAATGTGTTTTTCTAATTATGAATTCAACTCAAATAAGCCAGGGTAATGAACCCAGTTTATCCTTTTCTAAAACCAAAGTTTTCTCTCCTGACTCTGACTATATGGCTGAAACTATACACAACAACCAGAAGAAGGCGTGTTGTTCTTTAGTATTGTGTTATTCACATATGCAGAGATTCAGCTTGTGTCTCACCTCTGTTTGAACTCGTTTATAAGCCTCTGTGTAATGTTCTCGTATGACTTTCCTCTAACAGGTTTCACACAGACGCAATTTCATTTGGTGTAATGCTCCAACTATCGTATTTGTTTGCATTTTGGTGCTAGACTAGAAGACCGTAATGAAAGACTGAACCAGTTGTTTGTGATTTCCATTAAAGTGAATGGAGGAACCCACTGAAGTAAAACCTGAGTTACTCCTACTGCAGTGACACTGCTTTATAACCAACAACCCCTGAAGCTAAAACATTGACACTAAAAATAAAGAAATGGTGTGACCATGTGTAAGAGAGTCTGTTGTCAGTGATGCTTCCTGACAACTCGTTACATCCTAATGCAGAAAACATCAAAACAGACATTCTGAAGTAACAACACAAGTTATTTTTTTGTATTTCTGCATTAGTGACAATGTTTCCATTTCACAAAGACAAAAACGGAGTAAAATTAGCTGAAATGATCTCATCTGGACGGAATTTTAGAAACTGTGTTTATTATTTTAAAGTTTCAAGGTCTGAAGTCTGACTCGTCAATTTGTGAATCATCTGTAATTTAGTTCACAGCTGTTAAGATATAGGGTTACATTAGTACCAGAAGGTGCATCACACTTTCTTGCTGTACATCATTTTAACCAACATGGCTATAAAAAATTTCTGTCATGACCTAAAACAACAAAACAAATACATGAAACGTATGCAGAGACATTACTTTGTAGTACTTTGTGCTCTGACTTCAGAGCATGTTGATCCTTTTTCTGAGCAAGAATCCTGACATTCCTTCACTGTCCAAATGTGTTTAACTTGTTTTTGGCAGCAATAAACATGACAGTTTACTTATTTTAATTTAAGACATGTTTTATTTTAATTAAGTTTAAAACTTTTTTATTTAATGTAAAATTATATTTTGTTTTAATTTACTTTCAAATTCTTCAGTTGCTGAAGGGGCTGCATAGTTTTCATAAACTGCATAGTTCAGAATAGCTATAATTGTACCAGATGGTTGATTCAGTTAAGTTGGACTAGACTGTAATACAAACCGTTCAGTTTGTCAACAATAAAACTGAAATGAGAGAAAGACTGAGTGTGAGACTTTGATATTAGAGAAAATGAATATTGATAAAGTTTACCTTTATGTACAGAATCTGAATATCGCAAAATATTTTAAAAAATTGCAATAATATCGTATCGTGGGATGTATGGTGATTCCCACCTCTAGTACCTTCCCAGTAATTGTATAAAATTGTATGTCATACACTTTGCATTATATTTTGTAGAAGAGATTTTTTCAGTGAAACCTCCTTCCAGAAGAAGGATGAGGCACTTGGAAGCAGACTCCACTTGTTGGCTGTGCTTCCTGTCCTGCTCTTAACGAGGCTGGATGACCTCTGAGCATCACTGATTGTGGTGGGAACTAACAAATTGTCTGTCTCTTCTAATCCCCCTCTTCGGCTTTCACATTCGTGTTTCTTTCTTTCTCACAATTCCTTCTTTGCCTCTATCAGATGCTGTCACTACTTAATTATGTTGAAGTGTTTAGTGCCTTGGAGACCTCACTAAGTGAGTGGGAGAAAGTTCACAGTGCCACTTCTTTTCAAGATTACACTCTTGTAGACGCACACACGCAGACAAAATGAAGATGTCACACCTTATACACCTAATGAGGATAAATTCCCTAGTTGAGGAATCCCATTATTTATATCAACTGATGGACCCCTTCATCAGCTCTTCATCAGCCCACAAAAGCCTTGTACATGACGAGGCCTGTGGGCTGTCGTCCCTCCTGCTGAAGCAAAGTACCGACTTTGAGCAGATATTGAACTCCACCAGAGAAACGTGGAAGTTAGTAGATGTGTCAGATAGGGGAAATCATATGATATTTAATGGTAATGGTGGATTTATATCAGTAAATCTATAGTCTGTGAATTGACTTGACTGTAAAAACCTCAGCTGTAATTCCTTTGCTTGAGAGAACTTTGTATTTGGCACCAGAGGACATAAGAGAATATTTATTTTCATTGTTAAACCCAGAACACCTGAGACATACCCAATGCACACCATTGTTACTGCTGCGTGCTACAATGTGAGAACATGTTTCACTTCTCATGACGTCGATTTTTTATTTGAAAAAGGCACAGCTTTTGATGAGGCAGTCAGCGTGATGCCACACACAGGAGTTTATCCAAGGAGAATAAATATTAATAATTGATAATAGTGAGCAATATTTTCTAAAAGTGTCATGTGAACTGAGGGAAGGCAGCAGGAAGGAAAGCTCAATGAGTGTGCACTTCAACCAAGACCTTACAGTAGGGCGCCCCCTGGTGGACTTTATAGTAGATCTACGAACAAAAAAGTGGCTCATCAGAATTTGCTTAACTGATGGCAAAACCTGCAGTACAAATGATCGTAGCCCACTCACAACATCTTTGCAGGAACACAGCAGGGACACACTCCATGACTGTAGTAACTGAATACACACAACACAGTGAAGCGTTAGCGTGCCGCTGACTGTTTTTAATGACTTGTTGCCTTCGATTAGTCTTTTGTATGACTGTGTGCTCATGCTGATGTCCTCAGTGTTCTAAACGTTCACAGAAACCAGTTTGTAGCAACAGCACGTATATGTTCTTTGCTTGATATGAAATACTAAGATGTGTAAATACCTGTGCTATTGTGTACTTCACACACATGGAGAAACTGCCTTTCATTGTTCTAGTAACAGTGACAATAAAAAAGCTATTCTATGCTGTTCTATTCTACGGGACAGGTGAGTGTAATGCTAATGCTAATGCTAATGCAAGCACATTGTTTTCTTTGTGTGTTTCCAGTGTAAGACCATGCTGATGGTTATAGATGGTTATATAGCTATTCTGTTGTCAGTGGCCTTTGGAATGGAGTAGCTGCAACGCTCTCGTACCAAATGTTCAGAGGTAGGCAGCTGGGTGTTTAAATAATTCAACAAGCCACATGAAAATGTTCATGTTTACTCAATGTAAATAATGCATTGTAAATTTCTATTAAAATTCAGTCTGTAGACTACGGTTAACCTCTGTTTTTTAATCATAGCTAAACATAAACAGACATATAGATTTATCTTTTCCTGACTGTATTTGCTGATGTTCTTGAAAAGCAGTGACTGCTTTGAAGTGCACAGTGGCACATAAATTCATCTCACCCCGAACATTTGCCGGAGGTCAGGGTCCCGGAAGCGGAAAGGGATGTTAGAGACGTGTAGCCTCTTGGGTTGCTGCTTCTCTAATGAATCGCTGGGCTGCAGGTGGAGCTGCTGCGAACCCTCGGTCTGTGCCACGTCCTCTGGATGCTGCAAAGAAAACACAACATTCCACAGATTAGCCACATTTGTTTGCCAGTAAATATACTGCTACATAAACAAAATGTAATTAAATTAAAAAATAGGACTGATGTTAGAGGCAAGACTGCTAAACCTTTTTAGACTCAACAATCTGCATTAAAACAAACAGATCCTTTCTAATATGCAGTGACAGCTTGAGATGCTCTGGGACGTTGAAGGAAGGTCTTTAACACGACTTTTAAAAATAATTTCAAAGGATAATCTTATTATGCTCCAAGTTAATGTGTTTCTCTGGATAACAAATTGTAGAAATGTATTATGTCTCCTGATGGAGGAAATTCAGATGGTAAATATGTGTGTATATAGATCTGCATCAGCTGAGCTGGAAAAGAAAATGTCTGCCTGTTAGATTCTTATTATTTAGCTACATTAGCACAAGCAAAGTCAACACTGCTGATCTGTGTTCACAGCTAAGTGGCCACATTGCACCAAACCAGAGGGGTGGTCACGGCCCAGCGACGACTGATATCATTGCACTACATTTGCACACATCACATGCATGTTCAGTATATTAAAAAACTCCAACAACCACAAATATCATCGCTAGTAAAATCTACTGCTATATAGATGTTTTACTAAGTTATTTGTGTCTTCAGCAATCTTACCGAATGTGACCTGATAAGTTATTATATTATCATCAGTTATTACAGACAAAACAAAAGAATCTTCAGTGAGGTGACACAAAGGTTAACACAACTTTGTTGTGAGGTGACAACAAGCCAGCTGAGATATTTTGCTCAACATGTTTGCATGTGAAGCGTATAAAGTTTAACCACCTTGATGCAACTGTTGTTGTGATTTGGCATTATGTAAATAACTGAATGGGATTATGTAGTATTTATCTGCTGTCACTGAGCACTCAGATTTCCACCACAGAGGACACGTTCCATATTATCTAGTTACACGGAGGGTGAGACAACACCAGCTCTCTGTCAGTGTGTTAGTTTGGTTTTGGAGAGGAGCAGAGAGGAAAATGCAGTGTTATATTTGTAAAACAAAAGCTCCAGACCACTAACAAGGTGCATTTCTGCAGGTCAGCAGGGCAAAAAAGTCACACACAAAAAATCCAGAGTGCCTGCAACACACTGAACAAGAGGATGCTGCTAAAAACGAAACTACATTAAACTGTATCACAAGCAATAGACAGATTAACATTAATCTGGAAATTTATATTCAGCTTAATGTAAAGAGCTGTTATCAGTTCAATAAGGAGAGATCATTAGAAGGAATTAAACATTCTTTCTAACAACAGCAGGAGCCCTGAGTAACATGGCGGAGATGGGGAGGAGGAGGAGGCACAAAAGCATCTGTGATGGAGAATGTTAGCACATGGACAAGAGAAGAAGATGACTGGACCAGTCATGTCACAGCGAGCATGGGGAAGTGGAAGCAAGTTTTGATTAGCCAACAGACACTTGGAAAACAGACAGTGACTACATGTTTTACATGCATACACATAAGCTTCATCCTAAATAACATTATCCTCCCTTGAACCGTCTTTTCTTTTTTCCCCATGATGTATTTTTTCATATGAAAAATGTGGACATGGATGACATTTCCATAAGTAATTATAAACTCAAGCTTTGGCGTCTCCAAACTGATGATATACGAAGTTCAAAACGTGTAGTGTCATGTGTAGATTAGAAATTAAAAAAAAAAAGATACAAAAAACGATAAAAAACAGAAATCACCCAAACTCACACAACGGTGAAGATGTCTCTCAAACGGCTGACCAGTGTTGGGTAAGTTACTTTAAAAAAGTAATTAATTACTAATTACTAATTACTTAGTCAATATTGTATTTAAAATACTTATCTAATTACTGTGTCAGAAAAGTAACTTAATTACTAAATAAGTAATTTAACTAAATACTTCTTAAAATTCCTCTAAACCTTGAGTGGACAAACAATAGAAATTAAACTCTTTAAATAATAAATACATTTTTTAAAGACGGAGACTCTACAGCAGTGCTAGCATCTCTTCCACAGTGTAGCCTGCAATCATTCTTTAAGCTCACCTTCAGAGGCTTTCTGTGCTGCTGAAGTAAAATCAGGTTTTGCCTGCTTAGCAGGAGTTGCCGCAGTGATGGATGATGAACAAGGATCACTCAGAAGTGTTCGTCTATGCTCTGTGTCAGGTGCTTCAGTAGATTACTCGTGCTATTAACAGCAGGCGGTAGTTTTTTCTTCGCAGGACATAGCTTACATATTACTTTGATATTCTTGTCTGCTTGTTTCAGAAATGACGCGCAGCTGCACTACAGCGATGTTAAAGCGGCAGAGTTTACTTCTACGTTTAGAAGATAAATTATTGAAATTAAATAATGATATTCAGCGAGTTTAATTATTTTACAATGTAACGCAAGTACATTGTAAGTAGCTGTAATTAAAATACCAAAAAATGAACAGTAATTAGTTACTCTACTTTTTCAGTGGAAAAGTAATTTAATTACAGTAACGCGTTACTTAGTAACGCATTACACCCAACACTGCTGCTGACACATGGTGCATATAGTAACTCATGTACTCTCTGAGTATCCATGCAGCTCACAAAGATGCAACAGAATCTCCAGTGCAGATTGCATTTCAGTTGGCCGAGGCCAGAAGCTTCCCTATCTTTCTGCAGAGAGCTGACCTCAGCCAGGGTTTCTGGTTTGGGTAGATGGTTCGCTTCTTATGTGTGATGACATCATGCATACCTTTGGAGATGAGGCAGTAGATGTATAGTCCTCCAGCTCCATCTCACCCTCTGATGGCCTCATGAGGTCTAGGCTGCCTAGCATAGCTCTGTCAAAGTGTTGACACTGAAGACACTGAGTCCACAAGAAGGACTGTGGGACCAAAAAGAGCAATCTAAGAGTGTCCCTGCTGCAAGTGGTCAAGAGGTAAACAAGGTATCGGGTGGTCAGGATGGCAAAATAATTCCTTCAATCATTTTATTGGTGAAAAACAGAAAAAATGCATAGATGTTCTTTT